TTAGAATAATATTTTAATTGTATTTGTTTTCTTCCATCGTGATGTATGTTTGAAAGCCTATATAAGGCACATCTTTGGTTTAATTATAAAAACCCCAAGAAAAGCACCTTCAGTCCACATTGTGAGTTGTTGAGTAGTGTGTGTTGTGTGTGTTTTCAAAGGGCCTGATCCAACAATTGGTATCAGAGAGAAGGTTGAAGAGGGCCGGTTTGAGAGTCGACTTCCGAAGGGGAGGAGCTTTCGGGTGCGGGGCTGCCATCACAGCGGAAGTCAGGTGGTTGGCAGTGACCTTTTTGTTGCGGGGAGCAGAAAACTGAAGGTCTTATCACACAAAGAGGCTCGAGACAGCAGAGGCTGTGAAGGTGCTTGCGTTTGTCAATGGTTAATGAGAGAGAAGGTGTTTCAGTTGGTGGGTCTCTTGCCGGCTGTCTTTAGTTTTTGGTGGTGTCCGACAAGGTGGTGATTCCGACGGTAGGTTGTGGGTATGTCACCGAAAAATGGAGAGAGTTACCGGAGATGCATGAGAAAACGAACAGAAAATATGTCAAAGCAGGTGGCTTTGGGTTTGTTTCGTTTTGCAGGTGAAAGAAGATGGGAAAAGCGGGTTGCTTTGTTTTCTTGATCGGTGGAAGAAGGCTCTCATTTCACAGAAGTGTTAGATGAAAACGGATTCTGTGTGGTGACAAACAACAGCCGGGTGTGGAAGACTTTGGACGTGACCGAGGTGAAGGTTGGATGTCCGGGAAAAGTCAGGATCGGGTGAAGACCTTGGACGTGACCGAGGTGGAGGTCGGGTGTCCGGGAAAGGTCAAGAATCGAGATGAAAGGGACGAAACCGATTAAGGGGGTGATTGTTAGGTTTAATCGGTTTGTTTATTCAAGGGCCACGTAGATAACTTAACTTTGTTGTTGACCGGGTTTTGGGAAATAATTAGGCAGTAAGGTAGCACCTAGATTTGACTGGTTCATGATGTGTACGTGGAGTCATGCATAAGAAGAAGTCATCCATGTTT